GTAGCGGAGAAGCTGCGGTTGTATTCCCATGTCCACGTGTCGAACGTCTTCTCGACTATGAATGCTTCCGAGGCGAAATCAGCGACCGGCTGCGGCAGGTTTCTGACCAGTCCGGCAAAAAGTTCTTGCTTTACACCCCTCATAAGGAAGCTCACTTTCTTCTCCTCGGTCACGTTGAGGTCGGCATGACGGTACAGCCGGGTCATCTCATCTACAAAGATGTTCACACCTTCGTTGGGAAGTTGAACACGTGTCTCCAAGGCACTAGCGGCATGTTCCTTGCGGACGAAGCTCGTGAAGCTTAGGTCTTCAGGAACGTCCTTCGAAAGACATCCCAGGTTTGTAGGGTGGGTTCCCAGTTCTCTAACCATGTTTTGCGACGTCTTCTAGGTAAAAATAGACGGCGCGCAGTTTTCCGTCGGTGTCCCAGCTCTTCAAGGCCGCGACTCTATCGTAGGTCTCCAGCCAGCTTTCTGGGTTTTCAAACGATGATCGCCAGAAAGTGGGAGGCTAGGCTGCAGGAGCGAGATGGGTACAGGTGGTACAGAAGCTGTCATCGTCGCAGTGGTAGAGCTCCGGGTTTTAGTCTTCCGAGTTAAATCAGGCAGAGATCCAAATTCTGGCGGAAGCCCTTGCTGCCGGCGGCTGGCTCGCTGCTCAGCATTGGCATCGATGTCCCCTTGCCGGTGTGGGCTCGGCTCACGGCTGGAGGGACGCGTTCGGTACAGTGGCCGGGAAGCACCTCCACTAGATGTCACGAGATCATGACTTGGATGAATGAAGCACACTGCGAGTCGAATAATAAACTGTTTATTTGGGCGAACCTGCGCCCAGTTAACGGAAAGTCGCATTGCAGTTTTGCACTGATAGCGTCGGCTGTCAATAAACTGACAAGCGGCGAAGCGTGTTGGCATTTATATCCTTGCCATCGAATATCTTAGTGTTATCATGAGCGACGACGTAGGTTTCAGAATAACCTGTTGTCACAGAACGAGCGCTAAAAATGGGCGCGCCGCCAAACTCTCGCGACGAACCGCCGGAGTGACGCCGCGAGGTCAACGAAAAAGAAACGAAAAGAAAACAAACATCTAAAGGCTCCCCGGGCGCGCCAGCTTCTCCTCTCGGAAGCGTGGCTTCGCCGACGAACCTCCTCACCCCACATCGGCGGCCGAGCAAGCACTGGAAATTTCTAGAAGGAGAGAGGCGTGGTCACGCCGGGTTGAGTCATCCGACGCGGAGGGCATTCGAACCGTCTCGCCCTCTCCCCAGGCTTCGCTGCGTATCGCGCCGACGAAATGACGAGTACCTTCTGGAATCTTGCGCGGAAGGTATTTAATCGAGCAGCCGAGACGAAAGATCAGGAGAAGACGGAAGTTAGCGCCAGAGTGCATAGGGATTCCGCCGTGTAGTCGGCGAAGGTTTTGTCCGTAGGGACAAAGCAGGAGAAGAAGAGGATTTCCACCTGAGGAGTGAAGGCTCGAGCTACAGGCAAGAGCGTGTGTTTACCGCTATCGAGCGAAGACGCGCGGCAACAGCTGCGTGTGTGAAGCCGACGTGTTTCCGGCGAAGAAGTTTGAAGCTTGGAGAGAGGCCATTTGAAAACGCGAGGTTTCCTGGAAGAGAAACTTCCGCGAGGTTTCCGGGAAGAGAAACTTCAGGGGCAGCGGAACGACAACAACGCTGGACTTTGAGTGAGTGATTCTCGGAAGAGTATCATCCAGACTTTTGTTCCAAGAACTTTGAACTGAATAGGTTTTCTATCTCTTTAGTCTTTAAGTGTCTTGGTTGTTCAATGCATGCGACTGCATTGTAGTGCGTATTGTTGTCTGTGTCCGTTGTTTCGAGAGTGGCTGATTGTACTGTGTAGTACGTTGTTTGATTGGTGACATATTGTATGCAACTATTGTGGAGTGTGCATTTTTGTGTATTGTTTTCGATCTGCCATTATTGAGAATATAATTTGTTTGTTTATCAACTCTCGGCTCTGACTTGTTCTTTGGGCCACAGCCGGCGTCCGCTGGCGCGCCAAAAAGGACCACTTCTAAATTGTCCATGCTTTCGTGGTGCGGTTCGGGGGGCCGATACTTCGGCCCTTGGAATTAGCCCGGCGATTGCCTCCCGAATTAACGGGACCTGTGTGGCACCTGTAATATTCACGAAGTGAGTGTAATCTTGACAAAATGATCTACTTCGGTCTCGCAGCTTCTCGAACATCGTAGGCGCGGTTTGCCCTGAACATAGTGTAATGAGGAGATAACAAAACTTGAAGGAAGGAACATGGCAATATGTAGAAGAAAAACACATCAAGATAGTGAATGTTCCAAAGAAGCTAAGGAATGCTTTAGCCAATGTGATTTCCTTAGTCTTGTTCATGCCATAGGCTGCCACAATGATGACAACCAGTACATCGGTGAAACTGGTGATTTCAAGAAAAGAGTTAAACAACACAAACATGATGCCACCAAACGTTGCGTGGCCTCAACTGCCCTTGCTGAACACGCGGAGTCTACAGATAACCAAATAGACTTGTAAAACTTGTTTGTTCTGGACAAGAAAAAAACCTGCATTTTCCCATGGAGGGGGGGGGGACTAAAGTGAATGCGTCACAGAATAGTGGGGGTATCGTGTGAGTGTTGAATAATTAGGTAATGTGTGAGAATGCTTGTCATTTCGTCCTTATTATTCGCATTTATTGAATGAAAGAGAAGCATTACCTTAAACGAATGCTGGGACACTGTTGGGTCGTGCTGGTTGAAGGTACTGTTGCTTTCATCACATCTACTCGAGTCAAGCAAAGCGTCAAGTCAAGCGAAAGCGCAGTTAGGACTCCGTTTACTGAATGCCGAATGCCCGATTCAGTGCCTACATTCAAGGGGTGGTCAGTGAACTGTTGTGCAGAGCGGCCAGCCAGTTTTTACTAGCTAACGCTACCCGCATCGGACTTGCGAGGCGAGAGAGTGGGTAGAGCGACGATTAGAACGAGACGCGAGGAATGTAGACACCACTGCCGACACCGCATTTGCGAGTAAGTTTGACATAAAACACTCCACATTTAAAAAAAGCTTGCATCATGCCTGCACCTAGAATTCAGATACAGAGGACTGTACATACGCTGAACAGAATAATGATACACTTCTGACAATGTACTCTCGCTGATTACGTCACGCATTTAAATGTACTATTTAAGTACACTAAGCCTTTCTTATGGCTTTTATTGTCAACAAGGCTATCCCCATATTGAGTACTGAAACGTGTAGTGACACGTATCCCGAAGGAGTACGGCCACCAGCAGTGGGTCCAGTCTTAGCAAGCCACAGGGCACACGTTAACCGTCGCCGTGGCGAGAACACGATACTGCTCAAAGTCTCAACACCTTATCGTCTGTGGCAACTCTAAAACGCAGTACAGCCCGTTGCAAAGGCACGGCGGGAAAGCAAATGGGCTTATCCACGCCACGGGCGAAAAGTACTACACAGGGTGCGGCAAGCACGTCTCCCTGGTAAAAGTGATTCACGGAGACACCGGGACTAAGGCCTGGTTGCTCGAGTGAAGGCAAAGGCACTCGCGTTGGCTGGGGAGAAATACGGGTCGGCATAGCTTGGCCACGCACTAGGATACTGTACCGCCCTTTGGCTGAGCATACGCAAAGGGGCAACGAAAGGTGAGCATTCGCCTCGGGCGCCAGGCACCGTGAGCAAAGTCCGACGAGCCCCAAACAACGGGAGTCGACGGACGGAAAAGGGAATGCGAGCTCACCATAAGCTGTCCCACAGAAATCTGACTCACTCCCGACGCACGCATGCGAAACCTCTCGGGAGACCTTGTGCGCAACGCCACAGTCCACATCCGCTACGGGGTGAGAGGGTTTAAGCATCACTCCTCGCTCTCTCAGCGCGGCAGACAGATTGATTGATTGATTGATTGATATGTGGGGTTTAACGTCCCAAAACCACTATATGATTATGAGAGACGCCGTAGTGGAGGGCTCCGGAAATTTAGACCACCTGGGGTTCTTTAACGTGCACCCAAATCTGAGTACACGGGCCTACAACATTTCCGCCTCCATCGGAAATGCAGCCGCCGCAGCCGGGATTCGAACCCGCGCCCTGCGGGTCAGCAGCCGAGTACCTTAGCCACTAGACCACCGCGGCGTGGCGCGGCAGACAGAGGAGGAGGGGAGTTATGGGACGGCAGAAAAGCCCGCGCAAAGATAGCGGGCTAGCCTCAATTCCCACAAACGTCAGTAAATGTGTTCTATGGGTCCATGTATCCTTTCGTGTTTACACTCAGAAGCAAGAGTTATGCACTGTTTTTTTTTTTATTCACACACCTTCTTGCAGTAGCATCTGAGAGGGAGACTTTTTAAGCTTTGATCAGTGGTAATGCTTATTTTTGTGATGGTCGCACAGAACTGCTGCCAGGTTCCATGACGTGGCCAGGTTTTTCAGAAATTGTTCAACCTTTCCATGACTTTTCCAAAAGTGTCCAAATTCCCTGATTTTTCCAGGTTAGTAGCCAACCTGGTTAACGGTAGCCTTTTTTCTTTTAAGCAGAGCAGTGGTAAGTAGTGGCATGTACCCAATTTCAGTGGCACATACGCAGGCCGCACAAGATAGTCCACACAAATGATGGCTGCCTTAACAGCTTCGTTGCTAAAAAAGAAAACCCATAATGATAACGTGACACGGAGCAATGTCCACTTTCTCATCATCATTTCTGTACATTATACATAGTGTTGTATCAGTTTCAGCATATAATTATGTATTCAGTTTTTATTAGGCCTCTTGCTCTTAAAATGATGCATAATTCAACATTGCCCATGGTAATGAGAAAATAAAAAACCAGACATCATGTTGCAGAGCCTATAGCAACACAAAAAATGCATTTGTATGATAGCTTCTAGACCTGCAAACAATGTGCCTGGTTCGTGGACAACCAGTCTACAAATAACTGTCATGAAGATGGACCATGTTAGCCACCAGAAAATATGCATCAACAAAGTATGGTGCACAATATTTATTTCATGTGTATCACGTAAATGTAGCCAAGATGTCGGCTACTTCCTGGGCCAGGTTCTTGAGCTCCATGTTGTCTCGGGTAGCTACGGTCGATATCATGTGCCGCAGTTTCTTGAAAGATGGCTCAACGATCCAGGATGTCTGAGTGTCTGAAACAGTTTCCGAAATAATGAGTCAATTCTTGTGGTACAGCAAAGTTAGGCTCCTTGAATACTTATCACTCATTAATGATTGCACATGCATTCAGCGTCAACAGTTTAGAGAACACTAGGTGAAAGAAAATTTTGGATTTCTCGAATATTCATCGCTACATTTGGTTGAACTGCACAGCGCATGCTATTTCTGAATTACCTAAATTCAAGGCTACCTACCTAAGCAGTAGGAACATTCTGCTTTCACCTGTGTCCCTAATTGTTTTAACTCTTTCATTACCGTGCATAGGGGGGCCTAAGCAGTAGGAACATTCTGCTTTCACCTGTGTCCCTAATTGTTTTAACTCTTTCAATACCGTGCCTATTAACAAAAAATCGATCACTGGTGATTGATGCTTTGGTTCATCGATTTTGGCATGTGAAATTTGTTTATCGTGCATCGAGCACTTTCTAGTATCAGAATCAATTTCAATTTGCCCGTATTGACCACATAGTGGTTTTTGAAAGATGTTTGCGCAGACCAATGTTTGTGTGTTGTTGTACAAATGCACTAGGCTGGAGAACTTGACAGAAGTGTGTGCCCCTCATGATTATGCTAAAGTAGCATTGAATGTCTGTATTCGTAAGAACCTTTGCAAGCCAAATATCGAATTAAAGAGTCCGTTTCGCAACTTGACAGTGTTGAGCAGTAATAATTACTGGAAATTTATGCCAGCTATTCAATAAAGAGCTGTTGCTGGGAGTCAGGCAAAATATTCTCTACCAAAAATTCTCCTGACTTTTCAAAGTTTTCTAGGTTGGTAGACACCCTGGTTAATGATAGTCTTTGCATGTTTCAAGTATTGAGGTGGCCTTCTCAGCCTGTTTCCAGCAGCTTTGGTTTTGCTTGTATCGTTATATCAGACAGAGGGTCGTATCTAGTGCCACTAGTTCCTTCTACAGCTTCATCATCATGCCCACATGAGTGCACACCAGCACTGAAGACCACACAAACCGCTTGAAACTGTTTTGCAATCCCACTTGAACTGAGCGAGGACAAGCTTAGTATCCATCGATGACAGAATCTCAGCCTCCTCAAGTTTTGTTGCGATGATGTTTTGCGTCAGCCTGACACATCCACAGCCGTTCATGGGCTTGTTTTGTTTACGGCCTCAAGTTGTCTTCTCCGCTGCAAGTACGTAGCTACTGACATTTACTCACAATCTTATAGCTACTCTGGTTATGTGCGAGGTCCACACGTTGCTGGGGCGTAGCGTGCTGGTGCCAGATGCAGAGCTTCTCAGAACGACAAGGAGGCCACCGGAGCACATCTTGGCCCTGACTACGGAGTAGCGTGAAACGTTTTAGAGCTTCATGCTATATCGTAATTTTTTTAATACATGTGAAAAATGCTAAGAACTATGCTTGCGTGCAAACATAGAAACGCCAAGCTATGCGAAGTGAGGTGGCTCATGGAAATAGGTTACGCCCGACGAAACAGCGAAGTTCATTGGACATCTGGTTTATATAGGCATTATTCACATCACGGTTACCCATCTATATTTGAATATCTGGAGGCTTTAATCATAAAAAAACAAAAATTTTCTAGGAAAGGTGTACGATTTGGCTTGTGTCTCAAGAAAAACCAAGCAATGCTTCACAGCACGACACAAGCAGTGAATCAGCACATTGGTTCTGATTTTCTTAGTCAATGTGAATAGAAACATTTTCTAGAACAGTTATTATTGTTGATAATGTTTGTGAGTCATTCATCTTCAAAATGTATGTTCTGAATTTTCCTTATTTTAAATATTTTTTGCATTTATACTGTTTTTTATTGCACTGTTTACCAGTTGGCAACAAAAAAATTACACACCTATCACATTTTTGTTCATCCTAAATTGTTTTCGGTGTTCTACGAGATAAATTTCTTGGAAAGAGCATTACATTTTGCAAAATTTGGTATGCTGCTATGCGTCATGGAGTACTTTTCAAACTGGCAAAAACAATATTCCCGAGACATGAAAAATAGCCATTTTTGCACGGTAACAAAAGAGTTAAAGTGAAAGCGTTTAATGTTTCATATCTGTCCATCTGGGTTTTAGAATGATGCCAGTTGTGCCCTCTCCCCCTCACACCCTCTCAGTGATCACGTGATGGCACAGCTGCGCATTGCAACAGTTGCACTGACATAGCTGTGGCCTCTCCCCCTTAAACTCTCTCATCAGTCTTGTGATTGCTGAGAGTTATGGCATAGTCACTTGAATAGCAACAGGGTTTTGCCGAGCACATTTTAAATAATGTTGATTTATCATCACAATTAACAAAGTATCTAATATTTTTACGAGGACGGTACATTATGCACCCTTTCTTCCTCCAAAATGAAGTTCACTCTTTCTCTCTCATCAAGCTTAATTGACACAATCTTTTGCACTCTACTTGTTGTTGTAGTCGCTCTTCTATGAATTCAAGCCAACAGTCATATGTTCTGCAGACCATGCGAGGCGCTGCAACAGATTTGACAAAGTTGTTAGTTCTTTTACTTCATTTCTTGTTCCTGTAGCTATTTATTTCCTCCTTGCATATCTTTTATATATTTGCAATATTAAAATTTTCAAAATTTTCTTTATAAACAACACTACGGCTGGTTGGCTTTGACAGGGTTTCGACTGCCTCATTAACTCATCTAGTCCAGCATTGAAAACTTGACATGCATAAAAGTAAACACAACAGTGTATGATTCTGCCACTTAAATCAAAGCGACAAGCAATTTTAAAGGCACGTGAACTTTATCAGTTATTCTAGTTATACAGTCGATTCCATGTATATCGAACTCGGATATATAGAAATATTCGCTATATATTGAACAGTTGATAAATCCCCTTGAATTTCCCATGCAAAAGTAAGGCACTGTTGCACACGTATATCGAACCCCCACGAATGTAACATTAAATATATTGAACACAGCAGCAGGCTGCAGCCTAGAAAGTGCATTGATACTGACAAAGATTGCTCATTTTTTGGTTGCGTTATAACAAACTTCGATCGCACATCACACGTAGGTGACGAAAATGTGGCGTAATTCATTGGTTGTGCAGCATTTGTGAGTGCCCTGGCACATGATTTGTGGTCTGTTGTAGGTTGTACTGTGTGGACACAGTGTTTCCAAAGGTGCCCATTGCCATGGGCACCAAAATCACATGAATGCGAAATGACTCTGCGACCTTGTCATGATGTGCGCGATCTTTCCTTGTTTGCTCACGCATCATGGCATGCAGGCCATAACCTAATGATGTAATTTCGGCCTTAATGGTTATATATTACTTATCTCGGAGGCTATAATTTTTCTTGCTCTTCGCTTGCTGCGACAAAGCCGCTAGTGTCATTGCCATCCCCGAGGTATCAATGGTCGTTTCTTTTGTGGTTTGTAGACAGCGTCGTCACCTTTCAGCTTGTGCACTTCAGTAGTTCTCATTTGATTACTGCTGCATGTTCCATCGGGAGTCAAAATAAACATTTCATTACTTGTAGTGATAAAAATGACTGGTGCTTGCAACGACATCACGCAAAGCACTGTCATGCACAGTTTCCTCGTGGACTCTGGTGACAGGGGACCACTTAGTAAGCATCACCTTAGCTGACAACAATGTACGGTGCCTCAGTGAATATTGCTACTTATTAGCACTTCCAGGCACCACCTCAGGCGGGAGTACAGAAAGCGAGTTAATCGGTGCAGATGACGAGGTCACTGTCTCTGACTGCATCGATGCTGATATTTGCTGAATTCGCCTATTACGAAACCTTCAATGCGCGATTCATGAGGATGCCTTTAACATGACAGCGTGCAAAAAGCAAAACATGTCTACAGACTATGTTAACGCGAAATAAAGTGCGGTAACTTGCAAAAGAAGTTGTCACCTTTTCTCAAGCATACTGTGTGAAAGTCATCATGCTAATGCTTATTACGATTTACAAAAGCTGTTTCCAGAGTTGCAGCGCATTAATATAAGGCTAAAGTATGCCTACTTCTCATGTTTATTTATTGATATATTGAAACTTTTGCGATTGCCTTCAAGTTCGATATATCTGGCATCAACTGTACATGGGAGAAGAACAAAAGCAACAACCTACATCAGCATTATTTTATTGCTGAAGTTGTCACTGTAGAGAGGAGCGTAAGGACAATGCGATGTTCGGCTGGGCTGGTGACTAAGTGCCATTGATTTCGTTGTATAACTCTACTGGGAGTTTTCACGATGTATGATCATGAATGCTGGGCCCAGCTGAGAACTTGGACTTGGCATTTTGTATGAGCTTTCTCGCTCCATGCTGACGGTTGAAGTCCCGAGTTTGCCTTATCTTGGCGGCAGAGTCTTTTTTCGAAGACGACGTCTGGTCATGGTGAATCTGGTGGCGGCTTGCCATGGTCCCTGAGCAGGAAATCGCGTGTCTGTAACTGTCGCTCCATAAAAAGTTGAGATAGGCTGTACCCAGTGACACCTGGTGTGTCACGATATGCCAGCAGTGCCAGGAACCGATCTTTGCATTTGCGGAAAAATCTTTTACAGTCTTAACAGCCCATTCCACCACACCAGTCACTTGAGGATAACCAAGACTGGTAGTGATGGGACTAAACCCATAGTCTGGACAAAACGTTCGAACTCGTGTTACGGGAACTGGGGGCTATTGCCACTTCGAAGCACTTCCGGTATGCCAAACCAAGCCATGACACTCTTGATAGCTGATATTAATGCTTGGCTGGAAATGTTGTGCAGCGGGATAACCTCTGGGTAGCGTGAATAGTAGTCCACGAGGATCAGAAAATTTTGTCCTTTTGTGTAAAACAAATCTGCACCCACTTGCTACCATGGGTACTCTATTGAAGGTGTTGGCAACAGAGGCTCGGCCTACCGGACTTTGGTAGTCGCACACCATTCACGATTCCATCCCAGACACAATATGTTTGCCTATATGAGGCCACCAAACATTACCCACACGTGCCTTGCATCGGTTGTGGT